CCCAGGTCGCCCCCTGCCTATGGGCCCTGAGCCCTGGGCCTGGCACACATCAGGTGCTGGGGACGGCGCCCCCTCCACCGCCATAGGCACTGAGGTGCTGGACTTGTTCCGAGACCCCAAAGAGGGGCAGGAATCGTAAGAAACACAGGAAAGCACCTTCGAAGTCCCGCGGCCCAGTGGGCATTGCCCTGATGGGGAAGCCGTCTGGAGAGGGAAACGGCCTGCCCCGGGGACACAGCCTCCTGGTTCCCAGCCAAGGCCCCAGGAATGCCTCGTGCCTGCTGAGCTGCTGTGGGGGTGCCGGGTACTGAAGGGGAAGTTGGCTGGGCAGGGAGGGCGGGGTGGGACTACAGGGGCTGCCTCCTCACCTTCAGGGCTTTGCTGGATAAGGGGTCCACAGACATGTTTGCAGAAGGTGCCCCTGGGCCGAGACCTAGGGGAGAGAGGAGGCCAACGTCACCTTTTCCCTGTCGCGTACAATCCTAACTCACTGCCTTGCCATTCAAGGCCCCTGTTGTCTTGGACTCATCTCATTCCACCTTCTTCCATCCCAGCGGTCCAGCCACAGCGGGCTCTTTGAACGGCTCATTTCAGCCCCAGGGCCTTTGCACTCGCCACCCCCTTCCCTTTACTTCCTCATAGCATCTCTTCAGCAGGTATATCTTTGCTCAGTGCCACCTCTTCAAAGAGGTCTAACTATCTGGCTACAACACCCCATTGTGTCATATCATATCACCCCATTGACCAACCCTCATAACGGTCACCTGTTCTGCAATTATTTTATGTTTGATGACTTGTTTATGGTTTGTCTCTCTCCCTCCCACCTCTCCTCCACCAAAATGTAAGTCTACAAGGGTCAAGGCCTTGCCTGCCCTCCCGCTGCCTCCAGATGCCTAAGTCAGTGCCTGGCGCATGGTCCGTTCTCAGTGAGTATGCACCACGTGAACGGGCTCCCTCTTCCCCAGCAGTTCTCCCACATGGAGCCCAGACAGATGTATTTTGTCTTATTAAAAAGTATTTTCATTGCCCGGCTGGCGTGACTCAGTGGTTGAGCATCGACCTATGAACCAGGAGGTCCGGGTTCCATTCCTGATCAGGGCACATGCCCGGGTTGTGGGCTCGATCCCCAGTGTGGGCTGTGCAGGAGGCAGCCGATCAAAGATTCTTTTTCATCATTGATGTTTCTATCTCTCCCTCTCCCTTCCTCTCTGAAATCAATAAACATATATTTAAAAATATGTTTTCATTAAAGTACAAACTACATACAGAAAAGCTCACAGAACACATGTGTACTAGTCAGTGACATTTCACATTCGACGGCCAGTGGTCGATGCTCTGGGCGGGGAAAGGGACGGCCTCCCCAAGTTCCCTTTAGAGCAGCGTCCTCTATCCACGGCCACTGTGCCCTTCTCCCCATTCGTTCTTCGCTGGCTTTCTCATCCGATAATCCCCGTGCGAATGGGACGGTGAGGAGCAAAGGAGAGCAGGGCGGAGGGGGGTCTGAGCCCAGCCTCCTGTCGGTTCTCACGAGTGACCCCCAGTCTGACAGAGTGAAGCAGGGGTGAGACCCGGGTCCAGCCTTGGCTCCCTGAGCTGCCTGGGGCCGAGTCTGGCCCATTCTGCGGGCCCAGGTGTCTCAGAGACCCTGCGGAGAAGTGGCAAGTGCACGGACTTCGGCACGAGACACACGGGGCCTTCGGAGGTTGTCCGACCTACTGGCCGCGGGTCTGGCACATCAGTTAGCCTCCCTGTGCCTCGGGGTCTCCCTGGTGATACAGTGGCTGTGTATTAGGTCAGATCATGTTACTCCTCTCAAGCCCCCCATGGTCCCCATCTCCGATTATAGCCCAAATCATCACAGTGGCTCACAGGCACCACAGGATGGGGGCTCAGCAAATGCCTCTCTGACTTCAGCTCCCGCTCCACGCCCCTTGCCTCCCTCTGCACCCGCCTCCTTAAACCGACCGCACATACCGCCCCCGGGGCTCGAGCATGGGCAGTCCATCCGCCCAGCATCCTCTTCCCCTAAATAGCCACAGACTTGGCTTCCTCACTCCTGCAGGTCGCTCTTCAAATCTCGTGCTCTCGCTCAACTTAGAATCCCCAGTCCCTCACACACACACACACACACACACACACACACACACACACACACTCGCCCCGTCTCCCTTCCCGACCTCATATCCCTCTACAGCACTTCTCAGATATATCATTACTGCACATGCATTTCACCTGTTTGTTCAGTGTCTGTCTCCCCATTGGAATGCCAGCGCAGGACAGCGCAGACCTTGTCTCGCCCACTGCCGTGTCCCCAGTGCCCAGAGCAGAAGCTCGGCGGTTGCTGAGTTCTCAGCGTGACTCAGGCCGAGGTGGGGACAGTCCAGGGCTTCTCAGAAATCCCCAGCCCCTCCCGGCCCACGCAGCCAGGGGACCTGCCACCCAGAGGGAAGCGAGGAGTGGGGCAGGAAAGGGAAGTCGGCTCTTCAAGAGATCCCCTGACAGGCAGCCACCCAGGCCCTCGGGCGAGGAGGGTCTTCAGGAGCACCCAGGCTCCCTGTGGTACAGCTGGGGGAAACTGAGGCCCATAACGTCCCCAGTCAGGACCCTAACCTGCCACAGACACCACCTGGAGACCCTCATAACCACCCCGACCAAAATACAGGCCTCGTAAAAGTCCACCTTCCCCAACACACACCTAGGGAGGTCCTGGCATGTCCGCTCGTCCTCCACACACTATCAGCGGCTCTTTCCACCTGTGAATCCGGCCTGTCATCACCCACATGCAGACCTTCCATGGCTCCCTACAATCCTGGGGACAGGGTCCAGGCTCACTCCCCACCACTGCCCACCTCCGTTCTGCATTCCAGCCACGTGGAACTTTTTACTTCCTCTCACCCCACGCTTTCTGGCCCATGTGCCGCCCCACACCCTGTGACACTACTCCCCTCGCTTTATCTGGCAGACGCCTACTCATCGCTTGGCTCTGGGTGTAGACATCTCCTCCTCCGGGAAGCCCTCCCTGACTCCTAGGACTTGTTAGGCACTGACCACCCCAGCACTTCTCCCTTGCATTGTAATGGTCTGTTTCCTTGTCTGCCCACCAGACAGGGAGCTCCACAGGCAGGAACCAGGCCGAGGCAGCTCTGATGTCGCCAGCACGGGGCCTGGCAGGGAGCAGGCACCCACGAGGTGTGGATGGGTGCAGTCTCTGACACCGTCTGGCATCTGGCTTGTCCAGCTGAGTACCATCGAGAGAAAAACCTGGCCCCATCTCCAATTCTTCCTCCTTTTCATCTGCCTCCTGGCTTCTGCATGGCAGGGCTGGTACACAGACGCCAGGAGGAGGGGGAAGGAGGAGCAGGGGTTCTGTCCTCATGATGCGTGGCCCCAGGACGGGCATGGGAAGCAAGGAAAGGGGCACTAGATTAAAAGTCAAGCTCCGGTTTGAGCCCCGTCTCCTTTCCAGGCTGTGTGACCTTGAGCAAGCTACCCCACCTCTCTGGTCTCCACTTTCTCATCTGTAAGAACAATACCTGCTCTCAGAGTTTTGGTGGCGCCAAGGGCAGGTGTCAGTGAGCATGGGGGAGGTTATGAGAATAGCTGAGTCTGTCCAGGAGGGGTCAGGCCTGCAGCAGTCACTGGACCCTCGCTTCCACAGCATCTCCCCGCTGGCCGCTGGCCGGGTCGCACAGAAAAGGCCCCCTCCTCACTATACCCAAGCGGAGGGGGAGACCCAGAGAAGACATCTTTTGCCTGAAGTCACACAGCAGGGGAGTGGCTGCTTCTCCCCCCAAATCAGGAGGATACTGAACACTGAATCCTGGTCCCTTTCACGCTGTCATCACCCTGACCCTCCCAACAACCCTGTGAGATAATGACCAGAGAGGTCAACAGAGCAGTCCAGGGTCACACAGCTAAAAAAGGGTGGCGCCCAGGACTGAGGCCACGCCGAGCCACATGCCTCCTCCCGAGATGGCCTCGCAGGGCAGCTCTCTGTGTTCCCCCACCTCTGTCTCCACGGCCACCCTGCTCTGATGTGCCTGGGTTTGTGCAGATGAATACAGACAGCCAGGCCGCCATGCCAGCTGCTGGGGGAGGTGGGTGTTAGGCGATGCGCAGTCTGGGCTCTACAGAGAGACCTGTGGGAGACGGCAAGCCTCCCCTACGTAGGTTAACTGAGCCTGCTGGGTGCTGGGTGCTGGGTGCTGAGCACTGGGTGCTAAGGCTGATGCAGAACCTTGGAGACTGGTGCCTCAGACAAGTCATTTTTCCTCTCTGGGCCTTGGGTCCCTCACTTGTGAAGTGGGGATGATTATAATAGCATTAGAGGCTGAGACAAGATCAGCAGTGGCGAATGGTTTGCTTATCTCTCCATCATCCCTCCCTCCACTCTCAACACAGCCATCGCCCATCGCCCACAGCACCACTTCCCACTGAGCTTGGACACAACTTCAGAATCCTCAACACAGCCTCTGAAGGAAGCCCGAGAGGTGGAAACTTGGCCAGTCCCTATTCTGTATGACTGGAGGCCGCACCCACAGGGCTGGCTGGGATTCTGAGTCCTTGTAGGTCCCAGGGAGGCTCTGAACCTGTTCTCTCCATTCCTCCTTCTCTTGTTCTAGCCTCGGCTCCCTCACCCACATCCTGGATGTCAGCTGAGGCACTCATGTTTGCCCAGGAATGTCCCTAGCTCAGCAACGCCAGGCAATCACAGAGAAAGTCACAAGAAGGGGGAACTTTCTGACAACCTCAGGCTTTCAGACTTCAGCCCAGGCCAGGGGCTGCTGGGCTGTACGCCACAGGGCTGGGCCCTCCACCGGGCTGCCTCCAGTACGGGCCTCAGACAGGGGCTGGTCCAACCCCCTTGTTCTGTCACAGACAACTGGGCAGCTTTTGGGGGGCAGTGGTGGGCTGGAACCCAGGAGTCCTGACCCCTAGCTCAGGGCTCTTTCTTCAATGTCACCTGCCCCCCCCCCCCCCCCCCCCCCCGCTTTTTCCCTCAGAGGCCAGAGAGCAACCTCCAGGGGCTGCAGGTTCCTACCATTCTTTTGGAGGCATGGAGAATGAATTTACTCTTGGGGGATTGACAGCTGCCCTGCCCAGTCTGCAGCCACAGCCTCCTGCAGTCCCCTCCCCTCCTTTCCCCTCTCCACTCTAGGGACATCCTGCAGACGGCCTGCCCCCTGGCATGGGCTCCTCTCTGGCTGCTGAGCCATTTCGCTTCCTCTGTGAGGACAGAGGGAAAAAATGTGTTTTCCCGGGGCCTTGGCAGCCAGCACTGGTGGAGCCTCCTCCCTGCTGGAAAGGGGAGTGGAGCTGGGAGAACCCCACACCTCAGGGAAGCAGGAGCCCGGGGATCCAGTTCCAGTTCTGCCACCCACTCACACTCACTGCCGTGCCCTTTCTCTGGCCTCAGTTTCCCAACATGCCAAACCTCCAAGCCTAAGGTACCTTCTAACCTGACAGCTTTGGAGTTTAGCGTGTCAGATTCTGGCCCTGAATGGAGCTTCAGGACCACCACTAGCAGAGTGGAGGTCCTAGAGGAAGAGAAAGGAAATCAGGGAAGGCTTCCTGGAGGCAGGAGCATGAGAACACAAACTCAGAGACTTGACCATCCTTCTGCTCAGAGACCACTTCCTTTTTCAGCTGAACTGTGACCATAGCCGCCTCCTCACTGGCTTCTGGTCTTGCCATGACTATAGTCACCTCCTCACTGGCTTCTAGTCTCTACCTCTAGACCCCACCACCTATCTTCTCCCAAAGGCTGTCAGAAGGATCATTACTGAGAAAACCTACAAACCTAGGTCTGGCTGGCTCATTTCAAAACCCTGCGATGCCAGCCTCCCTCCTAGCCCACAAAGTTGGCCTTCAGGTCTCCACCATGTCCTTTTCCCACTACCTCCAAGGATCCTCTTGGACCCAGTGCTCTTTCATTCAATCAGCCAACACAGAAAGCACCTACTCTGTGCCAGGCTCTGAAGGCCCTCAAGGGCTCCACAGACAATCATCACTCACTCCACCTGACAACCTGGGTCACTGGTCACCTTCCTTGATTGCCCTGGGTAAGTTGGAGCCCTGTTCCTGGCACACCTTGGAGATATTGTGGGTCCAGTTCCAGACCACTGCCATAAAGCAAGTACTGCAATTAGGCAGGAGCTTTTTGGTTTCCTAGTGCATATAAGTTATGTTTACACTATACTGTAGTCTATTAAGTGTGCAATAGCATTGTACCTAAGAAAACAATGTACATATCTTAAGTAAAAAATACTTTGTTGCTAAAAAATGCTAATCATCATCTGAGCCTGTTGGAAAGATGGTGCTGATAGATTTGCTTGACCTGCAATTTGTAAGAAACACAGTATTTGCAAAGCGCAATAAAGCGAGGCGTGCCTTCGTACTATACACTTGCAAACCACAGACTTCCCCCTCATACCACCCAGCTCCCCTGGGGTTTTGTATTTAGTTTGGTGGCTCCCCCTTTAACTTTGTCTCCTCTCGTCAACTGTAAGCTCCCAGAGGGCAGGTTCTGGATCTGGTTTGGTCTTGGTCTCATCCCAGCCTCTGGCCCATGACAGGCTCATAGCTGAAAGCATCGGGCCTGAGGGAGGCACAGGGGCCATGGGAGACCTGTGGGGTCCCAGGCCCTAGTGAGGACCCGGGGTGACCTAGCAGAAGGTTAAGCCTTTCAGTGCTAGCTGTGCACCAGCCGCTGGAAGAGCCAACCACCCGCTTCCCCTCGTCCTTGGCCCCCCAACCTACGCAGGATGTTTCCTGCCCGGCTTTGCGGACGGGCCTGACTGGGAACCCCACACATTCCTGGACATGCCAGGCCTTGGCCGGGGGCCGTTGGCTCTGCTTTCTCTCCCACAGTTTCCCTGGAAAATAGGCTGTGTGTAGAGGCTGCCCTGCCTCCCCCCATTTCACCCCCATCCTGCCCCTGGACGTTGCCTAGTTCCTGCTGCAGATGGAGACACTGAGGTTCCCCACTGCGGTAGCAGAGCTCACCAGGGCTCAAAGATGCAAAGTTAAAAGATCATCTGGTTCCTCATCCCCCAAGCTCAGTGGATCCCCCTCCCCCATGATTCTGTAGCCCCCTGGGTGGGAAGAATGGAGGGCAGAATAGGACCAAGGAAGCCCTAGCCCCCAGCCCATCCTTCAGGCTACTGGGCAGAGGGAAGCTTCCCGCAGGGCTGATACAGGGACTTAGGGCAGGCTTGGGCCCCACCCTCACACATCAATCCTTCACACACCAAGACCACCTCTTCCACTCCCTGTTGACCATGCCCCCCCCCTACCCCCCAAGGGGAGGACTCTGGGAACTCCAGCTGGCCCGGGCCCTCAACTAGCTCCTCAGGTCCGGCAATCAGCAGGTATGTCTGACTAGTCCCACATGTAACTGAAACCACCGGCAGGACAGAAACCAACCCCACCCCTTCCTCCGGTCTCACCCTCCCAGGCCCAGCAGTACCAGCTCCAGAACCCAGGCCAGCCAGAGTCCCACCAAACAGAGGAAGCCTGGATCCCTTCCTACCTCCCCACTTCGCTAGGGGTGTTTTGGCCCTTCCACTTCCTCCCGAGGCTGAAGGGATGGCTGGGGATGAAGGAGAGTGAGGGTCTGCCTGCCCCAAGTAGCAGGAAACCCGGATACGGACCTGAGTTGTGCCAGCCCACCAGGGTGGAGGAAGGAGTGG